CACCTGATTCAGGTCATCAGCTCATTAGTAGAGACTCCAAGACCTGAAATTGGTGTGTCAGAGAAAGGAGACAGGCAAAATGTGCAGTGTTGGGGTGCCTCCAGGACCAGGGTTGGGAACCACTGGCCTAGGAGCAGAGGCCGGGGGCTAGAGTGAGCAGAGGCCGGTGAGCTTGAGAACGGCGTGGCCGGCGGATTTGAGGAAGGAGCGTCTGGAGGGCTTGCGGCAACCACATGTGACGACCCCGGTGTAAAGTCAAAATGTATCAAAGACTTCTGCTTTCCTGTCCCAAACCTATCTTCAGTAACAAAAGGGCCATTTGGCATTCCTGAAGGCACAGAAGGGCTGATATCGATCAAGGCCTGTATTGAAATCGCATCATATGACCCCTTTAAATTGAACAAAAGTGACATTTATGATTTTACAAAAGATTTCTATTTGAAATAAGTGCTATTCTTTTGAACTTTCTAAGAATCCTGAAAATATATCAACTTTTCCATCACAGAAAAACTGCATATTAAAATATATTATAATAGAAAACACTTACTGTAATAATAATTATAAATTGTAACTTTAAAATGTAATAATTTTAATAAAAGTCTTGATTGATTCCAAACAAATTCCAATCTAGAATCCAGATATCACACAGACATGAAACTTAACTATTTTACCAAGCAAAACACCCTAGCAACCATAATAGCAAAGCACTAAAATTATGCCGTTCTGTTAATGAAATTCATGAATGTATTTATGAAACACTGGTGTTTATCATATAAAAGCAATAAACCACTATGTTGCATCTTATCATGTGTCTTATTGCTTTATTAGGATTTGTTTTTTAAATGCATACTTGTATATTCTTTATTAGGAGTTTTTCCCATCAAAACAGGTATAGAGCAAATCTATTCCTTCTATATCAGATGAACAGAAACAGACACCTCTAAAGAGCAAGGCTTGGCCAGGGGGTCGAGGAACCTTCCCATGATGCCCCCATGCTGTGCACCCAAGCATTGCATCCACGGCCGTGAGAGACGCTCCCTGCTAAGTTTGAAAAGACCAATTTTCAGCTAATATGGAGGTCGTGACAGCGGCATAAAGGGCCTGGTAGGACATTATAGCGGCTGAATTGTAAATATTGGTTAGAGACAGACACAAATGGAGGGGCAGGCTGTGGGAAATTTCCATACAGCGCGCTGCGGCACCACCGGTGGCCCACCGCGGCGGAATAGATTTTCCATTTTACTGTGTCACATTAGATTTTCGGAGGTGCTGGGTGGCAGGTACATATCATTAGTAACACTTTAGCGTGGTAATGAACCTTTTTATTTATCCTCCACTCTCCTCATGAATGCATAAGGAGTCTCTCTGTGGCTTCCCCCCCAGAGAGAGAGAGAGAGCGACAGAGAGAGACAGACAGCACTCATGGCCTTTTGAATGACTGCTTATGGTGACTGGAATGCAGGGGACACCGAATACTGTAGGCAAACAACTGAAGAGCTGCTAAAACACACAAATAAATAAATAATATACACACTACATGTCATAACGCACATCTCGGCCTTCATGGATATAGTAAAAACAAGACAGTGCAAGTTACACACCAAACGTTAAGGATTAAGGATTTGTCAAAATCAAATCAATAACAGATTTGGAGAAATGTAGCATTCCATCACTTGCTCCCCAATGGATCCTCTGCAGTGAATGGGTGCCGTCAGAGTGAGAGTCCAAACAGCTGATAAAAACATCACAATAATCCACACCACTCCAGTCCATCAGTTAACATCTTGAGAAGCAAAAAGTTGCGTCTTTGTAAGAAACAAATACATCGTTTAGATGTTTCCTGATTTAGATTGCGTCCTGATAAAATACGAGTCCCTCTATCCATAATATTGCTTTCTCCAGTGAAAAAGCA